TTGAATGATTTTTCTTCAACAATGGGAAAAACAAATACTGCTTGTATATAAGTGCATTAAACATCTAGCAGACATGGAGCAATATGAGCATCCATTCAGACTAATGTGACCACCTGATGAATGAACTTTTCATTCAGTTCTGTGCTTGTCTCCACTAATTTTGATTAAAAAAAATATCATTTTTTTTTTGTTTGTTTGTTGCTAAGAACATTTGCCTGAAGCTGCTGCAGAAAAAGTGGGTTGTAGAGTATTCAGGAGCTGTAGAACCAAAACAATAAGCATATAGAGCTGCAGACTTTCATATCATCACTGTGAGCAAGCCCCTTCATATGACCGTAACACTGGAGTCATTGTTACTATAAAGATATTGATTAGTGGGGCTGTAAAACATTCATTGTTTTCATTGAGAACAGTTATGAAATCAACTGGGCTGGGGGCAGGGGGGGTTGTTGTGCATTGTGATTGTGTGTACAAGGATTTAAAAGTGAGACCTTGTTTTCTGTAGGCAGTGAATTCACCCTCCTCCTTCATTCAGACAGTTGGAAAGCAGAGAGGGAAACACAGGGACAAAGTTCTGGCAAGGGTCCCGGTCCAGCAGGGGAACACAAGAGGCTCCAGAGGATTTAACCATTCAACTACTACAGCTATCACCAGAAAGTGAAGTCATCTGTTGTCATACTGTTTTGGTGAAACGGGCAGATCCTTACATAGGGAAACAATGATTTAAAGGATGTCTTTTAATTAAAAATCTAATCAGGACTTGATGGTGCTTTCAGGTGGTCATCAATTTAAGATACAAATGAGTTTCCCATAAGGAAGTTGACATCATACAGTTTACATACAGTTGATACAGTGACATTTTATAACTTACAAGCCTTTTATGATGAATTAATCATTTATAAGTGGTTGTTTAAAGATGTAATTGACATCTTTCTTATTTGATTATGATTAGAAGTAATTACCAAACTACCAAATTTGTAAATAATTTTAAGTAACTAAATTTACACAATGACGAATTACTTACTTATATTTTTGGTTTCCCCAAATAAAAAGAACCCAAAACAAACAAAAACAAACTTACCTCTAGTGTCTCTTCTCATTGGGCCTTTTTTGGTATTAAGTAGTTCAGAGAAGTCTGTAGATTCTTAGTTTGACTGAAAATATGTTGCTAGTTGAGTTTTTATATTATTGTATAATTCTTCGAGCACCACACATAAATTCCAGATATTTATTTATTTGGGTAGATATTTAAAACAAAAACAAAAATCCGTCTAAATAAAACTAAAGCTATCTGCACAGCTCCATAAGCAGAAAAGATGAAAATGTGTTAAGTTTGAGTTAACCAACCATTTACGT